CTAGGAGCTAGGGCCAAAGGCCAAATCACTGCATGAAGGGGCCTGCACCGGAGCTTGGGCAATTGGCCTCTGATCACACCCAGATAAATTTACTGCTCACCCTACACGTATCACTCACATACCTAACAACTACTACCGCTGTTGCAATGACAATACTCACATCCAGCACTCAAGTCTCTCTCAGAAGGTCAGTGCAAGGCTAAACACACATTACCCCATGCCCCTCCAAGTCTACTCTCGGTATATGAACAGAAATGGAAATATGTTTCCCCAAAAGATGTGTGTGAAAATGTTACTAGAATTTTATTCATAATAGCAAAAAAAAACTGGAAGCAATGCAAATATCCAACAACACAGGAAGGATGCATGCACTGAAGCACATTCATCGGTGGAATACTACTTGGCCATGAAAAAGAGCAAACCACTGCTACCCAAGAGAACATGGATGAAACTCACAGACATATGCTGAGTGTGGCCAGACATGAATCAGTATATTCTGTAAGATTCCATTACATGTTTTTGCCAAAAAACAGGCAAAACTAACCCACAGTGATAAATAAAACTAACAGACTTTTCAGTGGGGGCAGGGGAGAGAGGAAGCAGCCAAATAACTGGAAAAAGGGGGAGACAAGGGAGACTTCTGGGGAGCTCTTTATCAGAAGTTAGCCTCTGAGGCCAAATCCAGCCACTGCCTGTTTTTTCTAAATAAAGCTTTATTGAGACACAACAAGGAATATATTCCTTTGGGTTTATCATTGACTGCTTTCAACCCACAATAGAAGCGCTGAGTACAGCTGACCCCTGAACACCCGGGCCAGGGACACCGAACCCCCGCACAGTTGAAAAGTCGAGTATAGGTCAGGCTCAGTGGCTCACGCCTGTAATCCCAACACTTTGGGAGGCCAAGGCAGGTGCATCACGAGGTCAGGAGATTGAGACCATCCTGGCTAACACGGTGAAACCCCATCTCTACTAAAAATACAAAAAATGAGTCGGGCGTGGTGGCAGGCACCCGTAGTCCCAGCTACTAGTGAGGCTGAAACAGGAGAATTGCTTGAGCCTGGGAGGCGGAGGTGGCAGTGAGCCGAGATGCGCCACTGCACTCCAGCCTGGGCGACAGAGGGAGACTCCGTTTCAAAAAAAATGAAAAAGAAAACTTGAGTATACCTTTTGACTCCTCAAAAACTTAACTAATAGCCTACTGTTGACTAGAAGCCTGACCGATAACATAAACAGTCACTTAATATATAATTTATGTATATATTATATGCTGTATTCTTACAATAAAGTAAGCTAAAGAAAATGTTATTAAGAAAATCATATAGAAAACATATTTACTATTCATTAAGTGGGAGTGGATTATAATAAAGGTCTTCATCCTTGCCATCTTTGGGATGAGTTGGCTGAGGAGGAAGAGAAGGGGTTGGTCTTGCTGTCTCAGAGGCAGAAGAAAATCCGTATCTAAGTGGACCCATGTGGTTCAAACTCGTGCTGTGTCGTTCAAGGGTCAAATGTAGTTGCAACAGAGACTGAGCAGCTCAAAAAGCCCAAAATATTTACTATCTGGCCCTGGACAATAAAGGTGTCCCAACCTCATTCTATATACTGATCTGAGTGATGGTTTCACGGGCGTTCACATATGGAAAACTTCATCCATCTCTCTACTAAAGTTCTGTGTACTGTGTTATACGTAAATTACACTTCAATAAAACATTTTAAAAGTCAATAGAATTTTAAAACAATGTCTTTTATAAAAGATCTTTTAATTTTCGGCTGGGCGCAGTGGCTCACACCTGCAATCTCAACACTTTGGAAGGCCGAGGTGGATCACGTGCGGTCGGGAGTTCGAGACCAGCCTGACCAACGTGGAGAAACCCTGTCTCCACTAAAAATACAAAAACAGCCGGGTGTGGTGGCGCATGCCTGTAATCCCAGCTACTCGGGAGGCTGAGGCAGGAGAATCACTTGAACCCGGGAGGCGGAGGTTGCAGTGAGCCGAGGTCACGCCATTGCACGCCAGCCTGGGCAACAGAGAGTGAAACTCCGTCTCCAAAAAAAAAAAACTTTTAATTTTCATTCTAGTTTTATTTGTGTTATTCACTTTGGGAGAATGTGGCCATCTGAGTTGCTCTTGTCTTTTCAAAACCAGGAGGAGCTAGGAGGCTGTCAAAAGTAGGAAAGATCTAAACATAGTAACTGCTATTGTGTCCAAACCTTTTATAAGAATGTGACGTGTCTATAGAATCACTCAAGGCCATTCATATAAACGGTGAGCTTGGCTGAGTCCTGAGATTACAGGAACGATGGGAAGGGAAAAGAGTATGAGTCTCCTGTGATGCACAGGGTCATAGTACTCTGGGTTATTTTAGGATGTAGCTTAGGAGAGCAACCAGCTCAGCTCCTATTGAAATCTAGTGTTTATTAAGGTTAAACAGTTTTAAGTTTCCAGGGACAATAACTCTGCCCCGACAATCGTGTTGCATTTAGCCTTAAGTTGGAGAATGGAGCGAAGGGAACATGTCTGGTCTACGCTGTACCAGGGCAAAAAGATTATGAGCACCCCAATGTACTTTGGGAACAATTTCATTTTGTCTAAGCTTTCCCCTTCTTTTCCCTTTGCTTCTTTGGTTTTGTTTTTTGCCATTTATCCTTTGATGATCAAACTAAAATTACAGCTAGATGCCATTTAGCTTGGCCTTGTGCGGGTCTAGCAGAGACTGAGGGAGAATGAACGCTGCAAAAGCATGATTCTGGGTCTCTAATAAAATGTCTCTCTGTTTGCCCACATGGCCATCAAGCCTTAGCAAATAGAAGCAGAGGAGAACAATACTACCTGTTCATGGAGGAATAGTAATGGTTTCAGTCCTCCAAAACAATGAGCTCTGTAATTTACTCCATCTTCCTCCTGAGAAAGAGCTTCACATGGCCTGCACCGTGCCAGGTGGTTTGGAGAAAGACAAACTGCTCAGCCTAACAAGGGGCACTTCAGCAACGGGTGTAAAGATACAACAGCTGGTCTGGTCCGGGCTAGTCTCCCAGTGACATGGCCCCAGCCAGCTTTTCCACACCAAGATAAGGATCACTATCCTATTCAACTTCAACAATTCCCACACCCCAGGCAACAAGATTTTCCAGCACTCCCCGAGATGTAGGAGGCCTCCGGACATGGTATATTCACCCGTTCACCAAGAGTTGTACATCCACCCCGGCACCAAGAGTTAGGGTTTGGGCTTGTTCTCTAACCAAGTCCTGCATCTAAAGCACTTTCTGGGAGCAAGACTTACTATGCTGTCCATCAGAAGGAAGAAGGAGGGACCAATCGGCAGTATGCCAAAAAGAACAATTGCAGCCTCAAGTTAAAGACAGGTCAGTCTTGGAAATAGTTAGGGGTTGAGAAGGGTAAAATCAAGAGTCACACTTTTCCCCCAAAAGACGCACACAAGAAGGTCATCAGCACAACTGCAGAAATAATCAAAAAAAGAAAAAAATAAATAAATATATAGAGTGTCACTCTTGTCACCCAGGCTGGAGTGCAATGGCATGATCTCGGCCCACTGCAACCTCCACCTCCCGGGTTCAAGTGATTCTCCTGCCTCAGCCTCCTGATTAGCTGGGATTACAGGCGCCCACCACCACACCGAGTAACTTTTATATTTTTAGTAGAGACGGGGTTTTTGCCATGTTGGCCAGGCTGGTCTCAAACTCCTGACCTCAAGTGATCCGTCCACCTCAGCCTCCCAAAGTGCTGGGATTACAGGCGTGAGCTACCTCACCCAGCCTCAAATATTTTTAAAATAAGTTGCTGTGGCCTGAAAATGAGTACAGAAACACTAGGAATGCACCAAATAAAAATGTCTGCTGACTCATGCTTTTCACTGGCGGAATAATTCCGTTTACCTGGGGCAAACAGCTATCTGAAAGTCTTATCGAGGAAGATGCAGATCTGAGATGACAGAGCTACAAAGATGCATTGTGGCTGCGGCTACCTAAGACCACACACACACACACAGATACACACAAACACAGACAAGTTATCTGCAAGGGCTCTTCACCAGAAAAGAAGTCATGGAATAATGCACATGATCTAACAAACCAATATCAACTCACAAGAAAAGAAGGCTCTCCAGCTAGACTTTAATGCTACAGCAAAAGGTTTCAAGAGAATCCCTTCGAAGGGTTAAGGCAGAACACTCAAGAAGTTTTGGTACCATTAGTTACACCATGAGGTACATCCATCCCAGCAAAGCCGGGCAGACAGATGAAAATCGTTATTAGTCTGCTCTCCCTCCTCTACTGCATTCTGCTGGCATCAGTTCAGCTCCGAGTCTATATTAGTCCATGATTTGTTTAGCCTTTGGATTTAAGAGAATGGAAGTACTACGTGAGCAGGAAACAGGACACTCATCAGAAGCTGGGATCTGTCGCCTTTCCCTTCCAGCACATTTAGTGTCGTACATTGACAGGTCCAAGAGAAACCAACATTTCAGGATGATCAGGTCCAAAGAGATATTCTTAGCACCACTTAACAAGATTTTGATCCACCAGAAACCACCCTCTGGCTGTCGCATGGCCTCCTCTCCCACCTCTCCCCTTAAGCCTTCCCATTCACATTGTGCCACCCTTACTCCCAATTCAAGATCCCTCCCTAAGCAAAGAAAAATAGTCAAGCTGGGGTCTGTGTGCCCATTATACCCGATCAAGAAACTCTTTACCATAAGCACAGGCTTCTCTTTCTTTCCATATCTCTACATCATTTCAGCAGCATTTCTCCTGCTTCTCTCTCCTTTGCTCCCCTTCTCCCCCAGTGATTCAACCACCACCACCACCACCACCACCACCACCACCACCACCACCAGCACCACCATCACCACCACCATCACCATCATCACCACCACCATCATCATCATCATCATCTCAGTTAGGGTAAGGGGCAGAGAATAAAACACACAAGAGACCTACATATAGACAATTCAAGCTTCAGAATCTCTTGCGTTTCCTACCTGAACTGCAATCTGGTGTTCAATCGTTTTGTACGCAGAGTAATGTGTGCTGCCGGACTGAAAATGGAGCTGTAGAAAGAAACCAAATCAAAGCGTTCTGCTTATGTCACAAACTACAAGAAAACATCTTAAGCAGTTTATGAATAGCAGACAAACCTTCCTAGATTGAACTGCAGCCTTGGCATTCAATCAAGACCTGTGTACTTTTATTTGTTGCTATGGATAAGATGATCATAACAGTCTAAGGTAAAGTTTTTTTTTTTTTAAAGCACCTATTCAATAAGCATACAGGGAAGGTGGGGGCCAGGAGTGAGAATTAATGACATGAAAATGAAAGATGGATGCCCATTAAGACATAAAGGAAGCCAGTGTGCTGAGCGGGATGCTGAAGAAAAATGAACTGTGTGCTGCAAAAAGTCACCAGAATTGCAACATGTAGGCAAGAGGAAGGATTAGCAGAGAAAAGATTATGAGAAGCCACAAGACTGCAACAAGTACAAGCACCCCACCCCTATATTTCTACTAACTGGGCCCCAGCTCTCCAATGCAATTCTATTTCTGGGAAAACAAATGTGTCAGACAGAATTCAGGGGCCACCCGATGCCTTACACATTCTTTCATGATGACTAAGCTGTCCATCCCAGGCCATCTCTGTCACCTGCACTCTAGTAATCCACACTTCCCCAAAGAGAGGGCCAAACACTGCCAGAAAGCCACCAATTTTCTAACGGAGGACCACCTATTAGGTGGCAACTGAGTGAATGCAAGTCACTGATTGGCTCAGATCCTCCCCAAGGTCTAAGTCTGTCCTCAGCCTTTCCCTCTGAAGTCCTAGAGACCACCCATCAAAGAAGCAGGTATCCCAAAATAGAAAGAAACAGCAAGATTGTTCACCCAATTCTCACCTTCCCAAATAATACTTGTTAATCTTGGGATCCCATCAATTGGGAACACAAACACCATCTAGTGATTTATTTTATAAACAATACAATAATCACTAAAGGATCTCAACAATTATCTGAAAATGCATTTTAATTTGCCATATAGGAACTAATAATGAGGAATCAGATGACCCTGGAAAATTGATGTCCAGTCCCCTCCTTGTAACAGGCAAATCAACTGCATTTCCGAACATGGATGTGTAGTATTATATCAAACTACTGTTACTACTCCTGTGCTATTACTACTACCAGAACACATCTGTGTTACTAGCACAAAGTGTAATTTACGCTGTGAGTTTCAGATCCAGATAATTTGTATCTTGCTCCCTGGAAGGAAAACAATTCAGTCCACACAGTTTTAAAAAATAAAGGGGAAAAAAATCACATAAGAACTTTTGAACTAACTCAAACACAAGGGTAGTAATCCAATTTAAAAAAATAGTCTAAATCCATGTTGTTTATGGACTAAGTCTATAAATACCCATTCTAGGATGCAGTGGGCTCTGAGATCATTTTATCTGTTCCAAATAAACAAACAGAAAACATTACATACATATTTACAGATAGATATAATGTAAGTCTGCTTGCCCCAAACAAAGTATTAATCAAAATTAAAAGGAGGCACAATGAAGTGGGTGGGAAAAAACCCTACACCTGTCAAAGGAGAGTCATAAACCACAGTACCCTAAAACAACAGAAGATCTGACCCCCACACACACAGCCCCCCACACACACTCAGAAGCAGCATCTGAAGTGAACCGCTGGCAGGGCGCAGTGGCTCACGTCTCTAATCCCAGCACTTTGGGAGGCTGAGGTGGGCGGATCACCTGAGGTCAGAAGTTTGAGGCCACCCTGGCCAACATGGTGAAACCCCATCTCTACTACAAATACAAACATTAGCCAGGTGTGGTGGTGGGTGCCTATGGTCCCAGCTACTCAGGAGGCTGAGGCAAGAGAATTGCTTGGACCCAGGAGGCAGAGGTTGCAGTGAGCCGAGACCTCATCACTGGACTCCAGGCTGGACGGTAAGAGTGAGACTCCATCTCAGAAATAAAAAACAAAAATAAATAAGTAAAGTGACCCGCTGAAAAACAAAGATGACTTTGCACCCTTTGTCCTCATCTCCTTTTTGTAAAAACTGCCAGTCAGTAAACGGAGATTGCACTAATTACTGTGACAATTCTGCATCATGTTAAAACAACTTCTGTGCCTGGGACAGGTTTCTCTGCGAGCTTGGAATTCTTGGCCAGAAAGTAGCTCTTGTCTGAGAGGAGGGTTCTCCTTCAAGCAGAGTAGGCAACACTAACAACTTGTCCCTCTCTTTTCAGTTGGTTTTATTCTCTTCTTTTCCAATCGCCTGATTCAGATCTTAATGGAAACTTGTCCAAGTTTTCCTTCCCACAATCCCTGCAGAGCCCCTAGGCAATCTGTACACAGGGTAACCACAGGAATCTTATATTGTCAATTAAAATTGAATGGACACCTGATAACTAAGGATATGTTGTAGAAAAAAAATTCATATAGTCACAATCTTATGAATAAATTAATCAAACTGTGGTTAATCCAAATTCAATTTTCACTTGTCCAGTTCTGTTCTTAATCCTTGCCTTCATCATCACCTAAATAACACCAACAATCCTAGAGAGAATCCTGTAATTGAAACAGTAAAAATGCAGCTGCAAGTTCCTTAAGACTCTAGCAGAGAAATCAACATATAGGACAAAGTTAATTTTACCTTCTCTTTCTTTCTGTCTCTCTGTCTCTCTCTCTCTCTCTCTCTCTCTCTCACACACACACCACACATACACACACACACACGCGCACGCGTGCACGAGCGCAGACACCCACACTCCATTCTAACGCCCCCCACCACCCCCAGTCACATAACTTTCCTCAGGTGCCCAGCGACACAGAAAACCTCACCCAGCTCACGAACACACCCAGCACAAGCAGCTTATTTTGTGTCTAAGTCAGATCTTTCCTCCCAGCTAGCAACCATTGTGCTGGAGAGATTTCCAAGCTACACTTCCTCCAGCTACCGCAACAAGGACTTAAAATTTTCTTGTTTCTCCTTTGGGTTTCCACTCTCTCTCTCTCTTTTCCCAATACACTTTTCTTTTGAAAATGCATACTTTCACTGCTTTTTCCTTCCCTGTAAAAAACAAAGATATCTTGTTCATTATAATCTAATTTTTTTATAAATCCCTGGCATTCTAAACTGGAACAATCATTTCTCTCTCCAGAAGCTAGCAGGAAGAATAAAACATGGTAGGTCATTTGTGCTTTGGAATATGAGGTGAGATTGCGAGGACTAGGACAAGATGACTGAGGCATATCTAAGTTTAAAAACCAGGTTCTGGTCAGGCACGATGGCTCACGCCTGCAATCCCAACACTTTGGAAGGCCGAGGGGGGCGGGGGGAGGCAGATCACCTGAGGTCGGGAGTTCCAGACCAGTCTGGCCAACACGGTGAAACCCCGTCTCTACTAAAAAATACAAAAATTAGCCGGGCATGGTGGCACATGCCCGTAATCCTAGCTACTTGGTACGCTGAGGCAGGAGAATCACTTGAACCCAGGAAGCGAAGGTTGCAGTGAGCAGAGATAGTACCATCGCACTCCAGCCTGGGCAACAAGAGCAAAACTCTGTCTCAAAAAACAAATAATAAAATAAAATAAAAACCAAGTTCCCAGGCTGGAAGCGGTGGCTCGCACCTGTAATCCCAGCACTTTGGGAGGCCAAGGCAGGTGGATCACCTGAGGCCAGGAGTTAGAGACCAGCCTGGCCAAGATGGCGAAACCTCATCTCTACTAAAAATACAAAAATAAAACTAGCCCAGCATGGTGGTGCGCGCCTACAATCCCAGCTACTCGGGAGGCTGAGGCAGGAGAATTGCTTAAGCCAGGGAGGCAGGGGCTACAGTGGGCCAAGATCACACCACTGCACTCCAGCCTGGATAACAAGAGCAAAACTCCATCTAAAAAAATAAAAAATAAATAAATAAAAAAAAACCGGTTTCCATCTGCATCATCTCTTGGGACTGTCCTGCACCCGTCACCGAGAGTGCTCTAAGACCGCTCCGCATCATTTCCTCATCCGGCAAACATGGCTGCTCTCACCTGGCTATGCCCCACACCTTCAAAATGACGCCTCACTGCCTGGAGTACCCAGGGAGTCACCAGATGAGAACTCCAGCGTATTTTCCGCTTCATTCCTTCCCATGAAGCTCTCAACAAAAATCAGTGACCAAGCCCATTCCCCATTCTAGCACCCACAACTGCCTCAGCCCTCACTCGTCCAGAGGAAGAACCATGAAGACTCGGCAGTTCTCAGCACAGGCTTGCAAAATTCTTCAGCAATGTAAAGACCAACATTTTAAGATTAACCCCTTCCCTTATTATCATCATATCTAGATTCTTCATCTCATTTCTAATCACTATTGGGCTCTAAATTTGATGTTTCTGATACAAAACATCAGAGCTATCCAGATGTGGAATGGGAAACAGCTTTTTTCAGCCACAGGAATCTCCTCCTCAAAGACAACTAAAACTGCTGAAATCCTCAGTTGGTTTTTCCAGCACTAAGCTAACTTCTAACACAATGAACATTAATTTTTGATGACTACTCGTCCTGCTAAATTGGGAAGAGGTGGAACATTTACTTTATTTTCAGTTTTATGAATCACCTGGCTTTCTCTTATACAGATCATTTCCTAGGAGGTGTTGGTTTTTTTGGTCCACTTTCCTCTCTACCCTGTAGCTACTACCATGAGCCACTTGAAATCTAATTTCCATGTAATTACCTTAAGAAACAAAATACTTTTTTAGTATACCTAAGACCTTTTCTTAGGTCATTAGTCATTTGAGCAACCACAGGCCATTATGAGCCCAGCTTCCCCTACCCCGCTGCCCCCAGTCCTGTGTTGAGAGCCTTTTACATTTAATGGGAAATAAACTTTTGACCAAGATTTTGGGTGACTGCCTGCCCTTATAAAGTACCAAGGGGGCCCTCTGACTTCAAGAGAAAAGGCAAAGCCAGCATTGCCTGGTACTTGAGCTTAAACATTCCTGCAAAGATCTAGACACTGAACATTTGTACCATCCCTAAACAATAACTTAACGACAGCAT